TTGTCCTTTTACTCCTCTGTCATATCACCTTTGCACAGAGTTTTTTTTCCCTGAGGAAGGAGTAAAATTACTCCGAAACGCATCAGTTTTATACAAGGTTATCTCTGTAACCCAAACAATATCTTTTGATGGTGATATTATTATTATTATACACTATACACCATATGTTACAATATGATCTCTTGGAAATAGTTTGTCATGCTACAATTTTTATCTGTGTGAAAATTTGATGGAAAATAAAGATTTCATATACTTGTTTAGTCTATGTATTCATGCTGGTCCCTCCTGTTTGCTTAAAAGAATAAATCACTTCTAACGTTATGTTCTACATGTGTGGTTGTTGCTGCATTATGTAAAACCATTTGTTCAGCTTTTTACTTTTTAGAATTGAGAAACACTGATCAAGACAATGCTTGCTCAATTACTTGAACTCTTTGAATCAATGAACACTTTTTTCAGGGCATGCCAAAATCCATGAGAAAAGCACGTGGTTTCTCCACAAACCTAGTAAAGATGTACAACATTGTGGAATTGTGTGATTCCTACCATCCCATATTACTTAATTGCTTTGTCAAAATTCTATCCAAGCTGATAACCAACCATAATTCTAATATGGTCTTGAAAATAGGGGACCAAACAGGCTTTATGGTTGGCAAAGATACCTATGCAAACATCAGCAGGTTGTACCTCAACATGTACTGTAAGCTGTGCAGGAGGCTGACATATTTAGCCTTGTGGTGTCTTTAGATATACACAGGTCTATTAATGCCAATAAATATGAATATCTAAGGATAATATTGATCAAAATAGGTTTCAGATTTACAGTAACCAGAAAAAAAAAGACTGTACAAAAATATGTTAGCTAAGGTACACAAATAATCTCAATTCTTTTTTCTAGATTCAACATGGAACAAGACAAGGGTGCACTTTACCATTTTTATTTGCATTGGCAATAGAACCATGTTCAAAATCAATAAAATAAACCAATTAAAAAGGGCATTCAAGATTCAGGTGTAACCCATACTTTTTTTTTTTTTTTTAATGGTGTGCTAACCCTATAGAAGAAATGGTTTGTGGTCCCCCTAAAAGTTCATAAAAAGACCCTTACCCAGATATGGAGCTTGGGAGGCCAGGAAAGAGGGGAAGTGAACATGCACCGCCCTCCTGAATGATGCCAGGCCACATGATGTCAACATTGGGAGGGTACCTTGCAAGGGGAGATGGTAAAGTCACTAATGCTGCATTAACATTAGTGCTAACACCATGTTATTCCTAGCACTACTACCAATAACTAGCACAGCAGTAGCTCTAGCATTAGCTCAGCAGTAGTGCTTAGACCACTAGAGGACAGATCCCTGGCTGTTTGTTTCTGATTAAAAACCAAACAGCCCAGGATCCTGGGTGATGTCATGGTCCAAAAATGGTCATGATATTTAGCCAATTATATCACCCAGAATTACCAGTTTGTTGTCGTACAACAGCTGGTGTCTCATCCAGAGTAAGAACTGTATGTGCATGCATATAAACAAGGATGTTTCAGTGCCTATTTGCTTATTTCAAGCATTGCATGAGTCTAGAAGGTGCACCATCTCTGAGTGCTGCTTCCTTTAAGCTTAAAAAGATTATACACAGGAGGACTTTTCAAGAAACATGCCCTCCATGAAATACCGAAAGCCACCAGGAAATCCCTGCTTATTAAAACATGAGCTTGACATCATCTCTAGCCCCTACAGACATGAAAGCTAGCCTCCCGAGCGCTTGTAAAGGAAAGTTGTCCACTGTGGGAATGGTGGGAGCTCTGGAGGGTGATATGGCAAGTAGCCACAGTGCTAATGCAGGCACCTACAGATGACTGTATGAGACTTAAGGTTGGATTCTCTAACACCCATGCCTGTTATTTCTTTGGTGGACACCCCAGCAGGATCAGAGGCCTCAGACTTTGGAACAGGCAAGTGAAACAGACATGGCAGCGATGTTGCATCTGCTTCCAACTAGCTATCAGCAGCTAACTTTTACTACAGCATGATCCTGTACGGATTTCTCCTTATCGATAATTTGTGTATTTCTATGGTAGATAAAATCATTTCCATTGAGAACAATTACTACAATATACTATTTTAATCTTACGCTGGAACCTATAACTTAATAAATCTTCCCTGACCAAAAAAAAAAAAAAAAAAGTTTAAAGTGAACCTTTTCACTGCCCACATTGAGGGTGCCCTGCATAAAGAGATAGAGGAGGTGCACCAAGAAGTGGGGCAACTGGTTGGCAGGATAGACGCTTTAGAATCACCAAGCAGCACTCTGAAAGCCTGTTTGCAAGCACTAGAGACATCACAGACCTTTCAAATATAAAAACTACATCTGATGCAATTACAGATAGAGGATGGGGAGAATAGGCATTGCCAAAACAATGTAAGGCTACAGTGCATTCATAAAGCAACCACTGATTCATAATCTGACCCCCTCTTCTCAGACCAGATAAATCCCACTACTGCAGTCCTTTATATAACATAGGTTGTCTTGTTAGCACACCAAACAACTCACATGCCCATTCAATCAGTTTCTTCATGAATGCCTTAAGTGATTGCACCTGATTAGCAGGCAAATACTCCTTCCAAATGTGTTAGCCCTTGGCTATGTGCATCAATTAGACTGAAGGCCAAAGATATAAGTCAATTAGCATGCATAGAAAGAAAGCAACAGTTATCTAAACATATGTACCTGTACAGTGTAACATAAAATGTGAAATGTCCAAGTCCCTGGGCATGCTCGGTGCTAAAAAAAAAAAAATGCAAGTTTTATGTCTTTGGGCATGTGCAGGGTACAGAGCAGGAAATCTCACATTTGTGACAGATGCTTCACCCAATTGCTGACAAGCACATTCATCATCCAAAACACATGTCCAGTATTCCATCTATTCCAGTGGAAAATTCAGCTGAAAATTGACCCGTCTATGGCCTGCATGAGGCTGGCCATACACTATACAATTTTCTATCCAATTTCTGCCCAATTTCCTTTAGATTTACCTTCAGCTATGTAGTGCAAGGGCCTGCCTAATTGGATACAATTAAAAGTGTTGTTTAGGTTTGACCTCATATTATATGGTTTTTAGTAAATCTAAAGAAAAATGCTCAAGAAAATTGTACAATGTATGACCAGCCTAAGCCGTTACATGCATGTAGACTACATCTCTGTGGTGTGAACCAGCCCTAAGTCCCTGGGCATGCTCAGTATAAGAAGCAATATATCTCAAATGGAGTACAAAGGTGGCGCTGTTGTTATCAAATCAGATGTGTGTTTGGCTATATGTATCCTAATACAAAGAATCATAATATTATCCACCCACCCCCTTCCCAGGCCAAAAAAAATCAGAGGGTAACACCACTATTCCAAAGTGACACAAAAAAAAACAAAGCAGGGATTCACTGTTGTCACCTCTGCTCTGCCATTTACATTAAGCCATGTGAATTATCTTTTGTACTTATGTGAGTAGATGCACAGTATTTATTACACTAAATCTGCAGGTTGCAGTATGGAATGCCATGGATTAATATACATGGGGGAGTGGAGATGCAAACAGCCAGTCCCTGCTGATGTACCCTGGAGTTCATGAGTGCCATTAAACAATCTGTTGCTGTGATATGCCATATGGTTCCAAGGTTGGTGGTGGACGATTACTGGAAACATTCTGCTATAAGACCACCTATAATTTTGGGTCTTATCACTTGATAAGAGGCTGCAATTGGTGTTGGTGTGGAATTCATAAGGCTGCTTATTGTCGTTCACAAGTAAAAACATATGGCAAGATTTGCAATGAACCCTCCTACACATAACTAATTTATTTGGGCATTTACATATAGGTTGTGGACTTCCATCAGGATGTATGTTTATTGATTTATGAATTGATATTTTTTCTTTATCGATGTGTCACTGTGGAATAGTGGTATCACCCTCTGAATTTTGTTCATCATTTTTATGTGTATTTATGATGTTGGGATGCATATCACATTTTTTGGGATAATATTATGATCCTTTGTATTGGGATACATATAACCAACACACATCCAATTTAGTAACACAGTGCAACGTTTGTGTTCCTTTTAATTTTGCTTTAGCACTGGTATTGTGTGTGGTTGGTGAAGTCAGCTGTAGGAGTTTTGATTTAAATTTTTGTTAGATGCTGAGCACCAAGTGTGTTTTTTCTACCAATTAGTTGACATATTTTAAAAGTATAAGTCCCTGGGCATGCTCAATGCTCATGGCAGTGCATACATAAGTGTGTATACACTGCAGAGAATATATGCTCCACAAAAAAAAAGAATAAAACATGGTACTAGCATTATTTAAAAAAATAGAAAAGATAAATATTGTATAAGAAGCAAAAAAAAACCACAGCTAAATAAAACACGGCAATTGCATTATTTAAAATCAAAAAAATAAGTATTGTATACAAAGCAAAAAAACACAGCTAAATAAAATTACAAAGGGACTGAAAAAGTACTTAGAATATCTATGTTGGTGTTTCTGTGCATAGTAACAGTAGTTACAAGTATTGATGTACACCATTAAATATATATATATATATATATATATATATATATATATATATATATATATGTTAGTTCATTAATCACGCTTTCACAAAAACAGGCTCACTCTTTTCAACGACATTTCCAGGCTTGCGAACAAAAGCATTTACTTTATTACTTCCTAAAAAACAACAGAGTGAAGGCACTTTTTAGGTTTCCTAGTCTGGGTATGCTCAGTCATGTCACTACTGAGATGTTTGAACTAGGTGAAGTCAATGCCTGTTTGAATTTTTTTAAATATATCACTTTATACAGACAAATTTAGAATTATTTAAATCAGTTATTCTTTAAAATGTCCAACATATGTATAGGAATATAAATTGCTTGAGATCATGTCATTAACCACCTCTTGTCTGGCCCATGTATATAAAACGCCCAGAGGGTAGCAGTGCAGGGTTGGATGGTTGTTTATAAATGGCCTCCCCGCCCTGCTTGTGCGTGCTCCCTGGGAGAGCGCAGCACCGCGTTCCGGTGCCCGCTGTGTCCTCTGTGAGAGGTCCCGGTCATGTGATCACTGATTGGCCAATCAGTGATCACATGCAAAGTAATAAGCAAGATGTCACTTCTGACATCATTGCTTACTACGTGTGAAATCTGTGACTGATCACAGAGCTCACATGGTACAAGGCTATTCACAACAGCCTTGTACCATGTGACAAGCTGTGACCAATCACAGCTCACACAGTAGTTCTCAATGGCTGCAAGAATGCAGCCAGAGAGAAGGAGAAATGATTGCTTTTACAGCCTTTATGGGTGTAAAAGCAATCAGCGTAAAAAAAAAAATCTTCGTCACCCCCCACAAGTAGTACAGTGTCACCATGGTGACACTGTACTGCTAGGGTGAGAGTATGTAAAAAAAAACCAAATAATAATATAAAAAAATAAAAAACAATGTTTAAAAATTATGATTTTTGGTTATAAACTAATTTGGGTTATTTTTTTTACTAAAAAGATAACGGAATAAATTTTGCCCAATATTTATTATGAAATACTATTTATTTGCAATTATTTTTTAAGAAAAACACTTTTTAAAAATTTTTTGTACTTTTTCATTTACATAGCAAAAAAAATAAAAATCCCAGTCAGTGGTGAATATATACCACCAAAATAAAGCTTTATCTGTCTCAAAAATGCTAAAAAAAAATTCATATCGGTACAGTGTTGCATGACCACGCAATTGTCTTTCAAAGTGTGATAGCACTGAAAGCTGAAAATTGGCCTGGACAGGAAGGGGGTAAAAGTGTCCAGACTGGAAGTGATTAAAAAGATTTTTCTCTGCTGTGCACCTAGTTTTAAGAGGTGAACTCATTTAAACAGTCGCTACATTTTGTGACCATTAGTAAATTTTGAATTGTGTCTATTTGTTGACTGAGTGCTTTAATAAAAAAAATTTCCGTCTAATTGTAGACAGTCGTGCAAGGAACTGTGACCATTTGCCAGCAAAGTGCTTTAATAAATCAACCCCATTGCGACTGGCATAGATAATGATCCATTTGACTTTGATAGTGCTTGCATCCAAGCCCAAAATACCTTACAAAAAACGCAGGGCTTTACATTCACTTTTATATCAGCTAAAAATAGATGCGTATCCTACAAATGGGGCCATCTATTTCAACATCTGGTGACTAAAGCAGAGAAAATCTTTTCACTACAGGCACCCTCACAGCTACAGGATCTCTTTCTTATTCCTAGAGATGGATGCCGTCAAAGTCTCCAGTTGGCTAGACCTGCCATTGGAACAAAAAACAAACAAACAAACAAAAAAAACTTGACTGTCTGCATTACCCCTCACCTAAATTATTTGAGATAGCCCACCAGCACTTAAGTGATTTAAAACTCCCAACTAATTAACCAATAATCAACCAAATAGTCAAGCACTATTCTTAAATGAATGCAGTGTAAAACATGTTGTATAAACTTCATGCGGACATTGCCGCAACTCACACACCCTCTCAACCCGTCCCCTCTCACACAGCTACCCCCTTATCCCCCCTCCCCCCCTCGACATAACCCGCAGGGACTTCGTCGCTGCTCAAACTCTCTCCAACCCCCTTCACCCTCACTCAGCTACCCCCTCATCACCCCTCTCCCACAGCCCCACCACTGCTCTGACCTCCTCTTCCACCCCACCCTACATTCCACATACTGAAGCTCCCCTCACACTCCGCACCTTTGACCTTACTACCATCGAGGAAGTCTCCAAGATCCTCTCTGATGCCCACCTCACCACCTGCCCCCTCGACCCTATCCCCTCACAACTCCTACGACCTTCCTCCTCCTCCATCCTACGCTCCCTCACCCACATCTTCAATCTCTCCCTCTCCTCAGGCACTTTCCCCTCCCCTCTGAAACATGCACACATCACCCCCATACTTAAAAAGCCCTCCCTGGACCCCAATGACCCGAACAACCTCAGACCCATCTCCCTGCTCCCATTTACATCTAAACTCCTCGAGCGCCTAGTCTACACCCGCCTATGCTCTCACCTCAACGACAACAACCTCCTCGATCCCCTACAGTCTGGCTTCCGTCCCCTACACTCCACCGAAAACTGCCTTACTCAAACTCTCCAATGACCTGCTAACCGCCAAAGCTAATGGCCACTATTCAGTGCTCCTACTCCTTGACCTCTCTGCGGCCTTCGACACAGTCGACCACCCCCCCCTCCTCCTCAAAAAACTACACTCCCTCGGCCTCAGAGATTCTGCTCTCTCCTGGCTCTCATCCTACCTGTCACAACGCTCCTTCAGCGTTACCTATAATGCTACCACCTCCCCCTCACTCCCCCTCTCTGTTGGGGTCCCTCAAGGCTCTGTCCTCGGGCCCCTTCTCTTCTCCATCTATACCTCCTCCCTTGGCCAACTCATACACTCTCACGGCTTCAACTACCACCTCTATGCTGACGACACACAAATCTATCTCTCAACCCCCCACCTCACCCCCTTGGTCTCAGTCCGAATCACACACCTACTGAGCGACATATCAGACTGGATGTCGCTCCACTTCCTTAAATTGAACCTCTCCAAAACCGAGTTTCTTGTCTTTCCCCCAGCCCGGACACCACCCCCCATTGATTTCTCCGTCACATCCAACAACTCCACCATCAAACCCGCCCTGCAGGCCAGAGTACTGGGTGTCATTCTGGACTCCAACCTATCCTTCCAGCCCCAAGTCCAATCTTTAACAAACTCGTGCAGGCTCCACCTCCGCAACATCGCCAAAATACGCACGTTCCTAACCCCAGAAACCACTAAACAGCTCATCCACTCCCTCATCATATTACGACTCGACTACTGCAACTCCCTCCTCACTGGCCTGCCTCGCCGCTGGCTATCCCCGCTTCAGTCGATCCTGAATACGGCTGCCAGACTCATTCACCTTTCCAACCGCTCTGTCTCCGCCACCCCCCTCTGCCAATCCCTCCACTGGCTTCCGATTGCGCAACGGATCAAATTCAAAATCCTAACGCTGATGTACAAAGCCGTCCACCATACTGCCCCGTACTACATCTCTGACCTAATATCCAAGTACTGCCCAGCACGCACACTCCGCTCCTCACAAGACCTCCTTCTCTCTAGTTCCCTAGTCTCCTCCTCCCATGCCCGCCTCCAGGACTTCTCCAGGGTGTCACCCATCCTCTGGAACTCCCTGCCCCAACCCATCAGATTATCACCTACTCTCCTCTCCTTTAGGCGCACCCTGGAAACCCATCTCTTCAGGGAAGCCTACCCCACCCCCTGCTAACTTGCCGACCTCCTCCACTCTTCCTACCACTCCATCCCCCACAGCTATCTCCTCCTGTGCCACCACCCCCTCCCTCCTAGATTGTAAGCTCGAAAGAGCAGGGCCCTTGATCCCTCATGTTTTGCATTGTATTGGTATTGTTCTGTCACATGTTCTGTCCCCCTTTGTAATGTACAGCGCTGAGCGAACTATTGGCGCTTTATAAATACTGTATAATAATAATAATAATAATAATGTGTGCATCTTCAGTCCTGTTCCTTTAAATGTACACACATACTGTATCATACTAAACATCTTATCTGATCAGAAATTTATATTGTGCAAATTATGAAAAATCAAGTGTAAACAGAACACAAAAGTGGATTCCCACAGTCCAACAAAGTCCACCATAGGCAACTCCATCAGGTGCAAACTTCCAAAAGCAATCTTCCTGAAATTATAACATGTCATCAACAAATGTCCCCTTATTCTACCATGTGCCAGCCTGAACAATTTTACCTTAAGATAAGACCTCTTAAGCCATAGGAGGCCTAATAGTGCTTAGTAGGAGTGGGCAGCCCCATTCACAGTAGTATTCAATGATAAGGAATTTGATGGTAGAGTAAAGGGTTAATCATGAATCGCTCCTCCCGGGGAATGGTGCAAGTAACAAAACAAACCACAAAAGATAGTGCTCTCTGTTTGCAATTTACTAGAAATCACAGTGCTGCAAGGCACAGTTACAAAAAATGGTATCAATATGCAGCATCACAATGAGAATCGTATCCATCCATCCATACATCCCTGTCTCATACTCATCTGCTTCACTGTTGAGAAAACAAGGCTACCCTTTCCTGCAGAGATCGTCAGATCGTAACAGCATTGGAAAAACTCTATGCTTTAAGAAGCTGCTCCCCTCTTTCTACTAAGCTCTATTAGACCTCCTATAGCTTAAGACAGGGATGTCAAACTGTCAGCCTTCTAGTTGTTGCAAAATTACAAATCCCATCATGCCTTTGGTAGTCATACTTGTAACTGTCAATCTTGCAATGCCTCATGGGACTTTTAGTTTGGCAACAGCTGGAGGGCCGCCAGTTTGACCCCCGTGGCTTAAGAGGTCTTATCTTAAGGTGAGAGCGTTTGGGCTGGCATGCGGTGGAAGAAGGGGGCACCTGTTGGTGGCATGTTATAATCTGTGGAAGATTATTTTTGGAAGTTTGCACCAGGTGCAGTTGCCTGTGGTGGACTTTTCTGGCCTGTGGGAATTCACGTTTGTGTTCTGTTTACATCTGTTTTTTCATAATTTTCACAATATACAGTAACAGTGTCTAATTCAGACATAATGTATATTGTTTAGCATGATATGTGTTTACTTTTAAAGGAACAGAATGGAAGATGCACATATAAAGTGTATAGAATATGTTTTTCTTTGCTGTTGGCCCACCTAACATCCCTAGCTCAGGGTCACTGCCACCTAGACCCTCTCCCTTATATCACAGGTCCTGTACTAGATGCCCAGTTCGAGAAGACAACCTGATCGATCCAAGATGGCCAGAACAGTGATGATGCCTGCAATCAACTACTCTTGAATACATGTGAAAAGTTTAGGGTATTACAGCTGGATATGAATACCTAGTCACACTTTAGATTGGACCTTTTTTATGAATTATAGTGAGGTCCCCTTTTCTCCTATGGCCCACATTGTATCATTCACAATGTCTTCAATGTGGCCTTACATACCCAGTGACATTTGAAAAGGTTTAAAATTATGGTCCACTATATACAAACAGGAGTAGAGGTGGACATTCCCAGGTGGGGAATCAAGATCACCTTTCTTCCAGAATTAGTAAAAACATTTTTCAGGAAGGACTTTTAGCCTAATCACAAATATAGACATCTGCATTAGATGCAAATGCGTTTTGACTCATAAAATGTGGGGGTTGTGTGCATTATAAGAGAAAAAA